AATCACTTCGAAACTTTACAGACTCATTTGCGACAAATCATTTCGAACAATCGGACTACTGGTCTCGTTATGGCCACAACAAAAGGCATTGATTTCTAATTTGTAAATACATGTATTTCACTGTATAAATTTAGCTTGGTTTTCTTTTTCTCTTCGCGTTATATAAAAATGTGTTGTATTTGTGGACACGACATTCCGATTTTACTTTTCCTCCTAATATCCACGTAGACTGGCCCCACAAAGTGTAACCTTCTGAATTGACTTATTGCCCACCTATTTCATATCACTGAGGGTGAGACAGTAGAGGAGAACAATTTATAAGCTGACCAACTGGGAGAGATGATCTATGCCTTTCCTAACAATATTAATATAAAGTGAACTGTCTCAGCTCTAATTTGAACTCAACTTGCTAATTTCATTTTCCGTACATTACTCCATCCTGACATAGTTAAATAGAAAAATAAATCTTATCCGATGGTTCGTTTTTTTTTTGCAACAGGTTTAAAAGAAAAAATGAAATCTTCTATAAATGTGAATATCAGTGTGTCATTGTGTCATAAGTTTTCAACTTAAAGGGACACAACTGACTAACTTTCAATAGTTCATTTCAAATGAAAAATTATATTCTCAATTTACAGTGTTTCAAAATATAATTGTTCGTAGTCTGTCTATATTTCTGAGATGAGGTATTATGTACAGTATTTACATTAGTCGGACTATTGTCCTCATCTTTGTCGCCATATTTGTCACAACGTTTCGGCCGTTGTACGCTCCGGCCTTCTTCAGGAAGTTGGAATTTCGAACTGAACCCTTTATTTCGATCACTGGGGTAGACTGTTCTAATTCCACGTGCCATGTTTGATGGATGTCAGTTATCTATCTGCTAATTTTCCCTCTGAAAGTTCTCCACTGCCTTAACCAGGTATTGAACTCACCTTCTTTGGGTCTGTCACTGGATCTAACCAACGCCTTTATTCACTGTGCCATGTGTCCTTGAGGACATCTGGGTGTGAACTTCTGAGTATGTTTTCAGCATCATTTTTACCAGTGCTCATATTGCAATTTTTGCTGTTATCATTTCATGTCTTTACCAGAGTTCATATTGCAACTTTTGTTATCATTGCTTTTCTCTGGCACTCCTTATTACTGGTTCCCATATTGTATTTATTTCTATGCTTGGTCGGCTCAGGAGATTTTTGTGGCCTAGCATATGTGCTGATTCCTTAAGTTTACGAATTTTCCAATGGTGTTCCCTGTCTATGATCTCAACATGATCCCACAGGGGCGGTGATCTCCCTTCTCTCTCCATATGTGGTCAGCCACGCCTGATTTTTCTACTTCCCCTCGCGTTACAGCTTTCTGGTGTTCTTGAAGTCTTACCTTGAGGGGGCGGCCTGTCTCTCCTTTATATTCCTTTCCGCAGCTGCACAGGATAGCGTACACACAGTCTTTAGTCATGTTCCTCTCTGTGGGGGGGGGTCTCACTCGGGAGAGATACCTGCGAAGTGTTGTCACGCTTTTGAAGGTTGTCCTGATGTTATATGGACCGCAGATCCTTTGTATTTTCTCTGATAACCCCTTCACATAAGGCAGGCAGACTGTTTTCTGAGTGTTGTTGTTCTCCTCCTCCTCCTCTTGTACCCGCCTATCCCAGTTTTGGGGGGCTGCTGCCATGTACCCAGGGTAGTTGTTACGTTGTAGTGTACTACTTATACTGACCAATTCCTTATCTAACGTCTCTGGATCGCCACTTATGACTTTTGCTCGGTGTTGTAAGCATCGGACGATCCCTTTCTTTACGCTGTATGGATGGTGGGGTCGAAATTGAGGTACTGTCCGGTGAATGTTGGTTTACGGTATACGGATGTCTTGAACCCATGCTCTGTTCGAGATATTAGTACATCCAGGAATGGGAGTGAATTGTTACTCTCTTTCTCCATTGTGAACTGTATCGAAGGTCTTATTGAGTTCACATGGTCCAGTAGAACCTGGACATCTTCCTGATGTGGCCAGAGTATGAAGGTGTCATCCCAGTGATCGAAATAAAGGGTTCAGTTCGAAATTCCAACCACCTGAAGAAGGCCGAAACGTTGTGACAAATATGGCGACAAAGATGAGGACAATAGTCCGACTAATGTAAATACTGAAAATTGTTCGTGTTTTCAACTTTGCTCAAAGAAGCCGTAGCCCAATTTATTATACCATTTTGGAATCAGGCCGAATCCGTGAGCAAATTAAAAAAAAACAAAACATTCCGCTCTGCATCAGGACCAGTAATCCTGAAATTATGGATTCCCAAGTTTTCATTTATGATATTTATACGCAATCTTTTGCGACGAAATTTTTGTACGATAACAATTATTAAAACGTGGAAATTAATTTGAGAATAATCGAAATTAATTGCGAAATCCAACGAAAGTCACCAATGATATCTCATTTTAACAGATATATTTACCAAAATTACACAAAAATATCTTGAAATAATAAAAGCACGGCCTTCAGATGACTTCGGAATCTCCAACAATTCTTCTGGGCGGTCTCCATGTTTAAGTTGGTGAATGCTGCCATAATCCATGATCTTCAGTTTATCTTAGGTGTTACAAAGAGTTTTGTTGGTCTCTTGCTAAACCGATAGGGCGATTTTAAACTAGTTAAAGATATTTCAGAAACAATTACCTGAATTTTGATAAAAAAAACAGAAATTCTATTTACTCATGAATACTCCAGACAGAAAAAAGAATGTTCCAGTGGAATATTTTCATTTCTTTTTCCCTGATATTTTGTTCCAGAACAAACTGCATTGCTTCGTTTTATGTCGATTAGGTTAATTAGTGAGGACTGGAAAATTAATTAACTCTGAGTGATTTTCAAGAAAACATCTGTTTTAGAGCAAATCCTGGCAACAGAAACGCCCGTTGGCTATTGTCCTCAAAGCATCACAAACGAAGTACCAAGAACTTGATATTCAACAAAAGAAATAAAAAACGGCGGCAAAACAGGGAAAAAATCAAAGAGAAATAAACGAAAAAAACAAACAGACTAAACCGGATATATAAATATTGAAAATTGAGCAATATGAACTCTTCCGAAAGTTTGCCATCGCAATTAGCAGGATTGTTCAATCAGAAAGCAGTGAATATAGACAATGTCAGTATATCGTCTGCTAGAGCTGATTCGTTAATCCTCTAGTAAGAGCGCATACGACTTATATAAATAAGCAAATTTATTGTCCACGAGGGGATATACAACAGTCATTTATACTAGAGTAATCTTGCGAAGAGCCACCCAATTTGCATATTGTAACTTGAGCCAATTCTTGGCAGAGTATTAAGAAACAAAAAAATAGTTAGAAAAAAGAAAAGAATACTGAAATGTTACGTTATATGTCGTCCTATATGGCAGTGAATGCTCGACAATCTCCTCAAAGATGAAAAAGAGACTTGAAGCAAAAGAAATATTCATCTGTAGAAGGGTACTGAGGATACTATGGACTTAACGACAATGTTTTAGAGAAAATGAAAACAAAAAGGAAACTTATACTTAACATCAGGAAGAGTCAGTCGAAAATTCTAGGGCAAAAAATGAGGAAAGAAGGCTTGGAAAATCTGATACTCACAGGACAGATTGAAGGCAAGAGGTTAGAGTAAACATGCATACTTAGTGAACTTGAGTAATTGGATGGAGGAACAAGGTTTAGGAGAAATAACAAAAAGTCAAAATTTATTAAGAGCTACGAAGGATAGTGTTGTAACCTAGAGAAGGTTACTGAATAGAATAATCACACGAAAGTTGGTAATGAACGATAATACTTAGGACAAGAACAGCACATATAAGATTCGCCTGTGGCGCACAGAAGAAATAGTCAACTGCTAGAAGTGAGTTTAGTGAATTCCACAATGGATCTCCAGCTGCAGGATATCTATTAACCCCCCCCCACCGGTTAGATGTGGCACAAGGCCAAATTTAATATGGGGTATTCGAGTCCGTAGGGTCAGCCAAAATTTCCCCTTATACCCAGTATAAAACGGGGTTGGGTAGCTGTTTCCCGAGGCGAGACTCTGCCCTTCTACAGAGCCTCGTCTTGGGATCCTCTTTACTCAGAGGCAGGGAGTTTGACCAGCACAGCTGGAGACGAATCTCCAACAGAAGACCAACATACAGTATTTACTACTGTATTTATGTGAATGGGGGCATTACCCATTATCGTCCGTAGGTATGATACAACAGATAGAAAATTTTGGAGGGCCATGATGGCCTATGTTCTTAAGGGACAAGGTACACAAAAAAGAAGTCATATTGTTTGAGAGTAGTCATTTGTTGACATAGAGCATCATTTTAATAAGCAGTTATCTTCTGCTCGAACAACTCGAAGCATCAACTTCTAAACGTTTTCAAAAATGATCAAGATAGAAAGAAGTTCATTTCTGACAACCAGTTTTATTCGATAAATAATATATTTCATGGATTCAAAGGTGCATTGACATTCAAAACGCACCCCATACTTATTTCACTAAATTTCTTAGTAAAAGTATTAATACACACTCGAAAATTGGGTATGTGTCGGAAATATTCCGTTTCGAAGATGAATTTTCAATGTTCACAGTTAATTTAATGAAAACTTTAGTGCTATTAAAGTAAGGAGATACAGGATTTAAAAACAAAGTTTTGAAAATAAAATGGACTTTGAATGTAAACCGGCTCTGCCGCTTTGAGTGGCTAGAAGCAAGATTACTCCAGTGCTTTATGGTAGGCAGAGCAGGATATATGCACTTTAGTGATCTGACTAGTCAGAGACAAAATTCGCCAGAATATTTGAAGGGTGAGGAAAGGGAATTTATTTCGGGCAGAACAATGTAGTTGAGAGTCAAAGTTAGTTAGATTGAGAGAGCGAGCGAGAGAGAGAGAGAGAGAGAGAGAGAGAGAGAGAGAGAGGGAGAGAGAGAGTGTATATATGTGTAGACGCGACTATTTTTCCTCAATAATCTCGTATTTTAAACAAGGAGCTCGTCTCACAAAGAAATAAACACATCTATCTATCTATCTATCTATCTATCTATCTATCTATCTATCTATCTATCTCTATATATATATAAATCGCAGTATGTTCATATCTATCTCAGTCTCTTCAGGCCTATCGATCTATCTACCTATCCATCTCAGTCTGTTCATATCTATCTCTCTCTCTCTCTCTCTCTCTCTATATATATATATATATATATATGTGTGTGTGGGTGTGTGTTCATATCTATCTCAGTCTCTTCAGGTCTATCGATCTATCTACCTATCCATCTCAGTCTTCTCATATCTATCTATCTATCTATCTATCTATCTATCTATCTATCTATCTATCTATCTATCTAAAAGGTAATAATATTTTTCTATAGCAGCTCATTTTCTATCCGTATACAGGCTCCAAGTCTAAGTTCTAAATTATTCTAACATCTTTTCCAAAGAGATCTAGTTTTCGTTTATCTTTGTACCGGAACTTGTCAAATGATTTTGCATAATTTATCAAATATTAGTGCACACCCTTCTATATGTGTTTCTAGGTCTGATATCAGGTAGGATCCTAGATGAGGCTATGTCGAAAAGCAGAGTTTTATATGGGGTCTACAAGGAAATTTGGGCCGAGCCTATGGGCTCGAATAAACCACATTAAATTTAGCCTTGTGCCACTTTCCATATTCTGTTTGTATTACACATTATTTTTGAAGGGAATGAATTACTTTTACACATATTCCACAAAGCAAGCATGAGAGACTGACCCATGGCGCTCCCATTGTTATGCAGATATGAGTTAGGCTATATAAGTTAAGTTTCCTAAACAAAAACCTCAGACTTATAATCAATTTCCTCGAAGACAGAGTTTAAGTTTTCAAAGTTGGTCTTGAAAAAAAGGAAAACCTTTTCAACGCCTGTAACAATAGTGTACAACATAAAAGCTTCAAAAAGAAAAATAGTCGATCTTAGCTAGACACTAGAAATAAAAAAAACATATCTAAAATTGTTGATTGATTCTAGATTTAATGATACACTATTACTGTTATATGAATATTTCATCAAATTGTTGACATTTCCAGATTAATTATTATTCTCCTAATAACTATATTATATATAATTATTATCCTAATAAATTAATTTATTTTATTTTTCACACTAGGTTTTAGACATTTAATTGACCTGTAAGAAATACATCGTGAGCATCTGAATAAAGCCGATAAATTCTGCTAAGTGGTTTCTGCATCTTAAAAACGAAATATAACACCTCATATGAGGGCACCTCGAGGTAGTTTAATGGTTAGCAAGCTTGTCTCACTAGAACAATTACGACTGAGTAGTGATTTCGATTCTCACTGGGTGCCCCCTAATTTCGGCCTCGTGTCACATCTAAGCTGAAATCTGTTGAAAGCTATCCACGTTCTGAAAGGCCATCAGATGCAATCAAACGAAATAGATGTATTAAGAGCGTGAAAATTAAAAGATATATGGATTCCACAGACAGTTCGGTAAGCATATAGCCATCATATCAAATATATCAAATATAACACCTGTTATGAGAAAAGTTTACCAACTATGTTTTTAATGCAAAATTGTTCACCAAGACAAGAAGTGGACACCACACATATGGTATAATACCTGTGCAACTGTTATGGTCCAGGTTAGGACCAAGGAAGAACAACACGAACACAAGAGTAGAAATAACGAAGGTATATTACACGAAATAATAATACAAGATGTGGAAGGTGTTAGTATGACTGTCAGTCTGGTTTGGAGTGAACTACTATCGGTTCGACTCGATATGACCCTTTCTCTTGAGAGGCGTAGTATACATAGTGTTAGGAAGAGTTAATTCTTTAGTTATAGGTAAGGACCCATGACACCCCCCTCCCAAGCTTTTACCTCGCAGGGGTCTTCAATATTTTTCCTTTTCGGATTAATCATCAAAGGCTCTGTAAATTTTCATTTCTGCTGGATTTCCGCGGTTCTGAAATTGCTTGAGGCCTTTGCATATTGCATGTGTCCATTACCAGGAAGAAAAACTGCCTTTTGCAGTGGCCTGTTAGTTTCAAAGTTACAGCAGTGGAATCTCTCGGCTGGTGATGTACGGATATCCTATTTCCATCCTTACAAGTATCTAGTCCGATTCTTCCTTATGGAAAGTGACTTGGTCTCCTGCAATGATAGCAGTGGTCTTATGCAATCACTTAACATCAGTTACAATGAAGAGGAATGGAGGCTGTTGGTTGATTCCTCGAAGACAAGTCACAAAACTGACTTGTTACACTATGGCTTTACGGCATATCAACACTTAATTAAAAAAATCCTCACTCAATCGGAGACAAAGCACGAGAAATGCGTTTACAGAGCTGAATGCATTTCTAACTGAGCATCACCTGCGAGGTTATGAACTGTTTTATTTATAAATCTGTCACGAGATCACGCAAATTTGGCTGCGATGAACTTACCTGCTATGCTGTGATCAGACTGGGTATAATGATGGCATTTTTGACATGCTGCTCTGTCGCTTATTAATAATAATAATAATAATAACATCCTACATATTCTCATAATAAACTTTTTCTCCCTGCTTATAGATCCTTAGATCTCCATTCAGTAATCCTCTACATCGAATAGTACTTAGGCGTTGTATTAGATGAATAATAATAATAATAATAATAATAATAATAATAATAATAATAATAATAAGGAAAAGAGAAGGAAAATTTAGCATTTGGTCACCAATGGAATTTTTTGAAATCTCTTATAAAAGAAGTGCGAAGTGTGAGGGAAAATTTAACTATGAAAACGTTAGTATCATTGCAAATGGAAGGACAATATGAAAAGTGAATAAATGATTTTGTAAGTGACAAGTTGAGTTAGCGTGACAGAATGAGAATGAATGAGGTTAAGGATCACCATTAAAGTTTATATTTTTTTTCCTGAGAAAACGTCTGAAGAAAAAGAAACTATAAAAACTTTACGTTTTATTGTTTAACAAGGCAAACATTTCGTTGCAGGCTTGATTTAACATGAGGTTCCACAAATGAAGACGACCAAGAAGAAGAGAGAGAAATAGTTTTATTATTAATATAACAATAATAATAATAATAATAATAATAATAAGAAGAAGAAGAAGAAGAAGAAGAAGAAGAGAAGAAGTAGAAGAAATTGAAAAGATGGACAAAGAAAGTGTGAAAAGACCACAATGAAAAAATAGAATATATGATTGGGGCGGGGATTGAAAAAAAAGTAATTTCAAATATATTTATCGTCTGTTTCTATTTCATTGTTTAGCGAAGACTAGACGAAAGATCCCGACTCTCCATAATAAACGCACAGTCGGTTTCTTTTCTTTGGATGAAAGGCGTCGCGCAGGGCAAAGAGAAATACAAATGGCTGGAATTTTTTTTACGGTAAAATTACCTAACGATTCCATTCATTCGCTTCATAACTGGTTATTCTTCACTATTTATTGTGTGACAATTATATTTAGAGTGACCAGAACATCTGGACAAAAGACACAGACTGTTAAGAGGAACTAAACGGCTCAAATATTATACAGAGTCCAAAGTATTCTTGTATCGAAAATACCTCTCTTTATATACGAAATCTATTCGTAAATGGTCCAACCATTTTATACGAGCAGAATATAAAATAATGAAAGTCGCCTTTCAAAGTACTCCTTATGAAACCTCACAAATCGAATATCGCTTTCATTTTTTAAAATATCTGCATCTTCCTGTTCTCTATAATCTCGTCTACAGCGTTTCAGCGGCAATTTGGTATTCGGGGAAAACGTAAAGTTGCAAGGAGATAAACCTGGTCATGCAATATTTTGCCAAAGAATCGGTGATTTGGATTGTTTGATTTTGTTTATCGGTATATCAACCTCTATGGGTTATTTTATGCCGAAATCTAAATATTTTTAACACGGTTTTATGGTTTCAACTACAGATAAAATGTATTGTTGGTCATTTTGCAATAAGAATTATGAGTGGTAATTCTGCCTTAAAAATGTATAGTTGGTAATACTATAAATATGTATCGTTGGTATGTTTTTATATAAAAAATCTATTGCTGGTATTTTTACTTGCTGCCGGATGTAGATTATCGTCATGCCCAGGAGTAGGTAATTTGACAAATGGGAAGTCGATGTATTAAAAATGGCTATAAGCTTACCGAACTGTCTGTGGAATCCATATATCTTTTAATTTTCACGCTCTTAATGCATCTATTTCGTTTGATTGCATCTGATGGGCTTTCAGAACGTGGATAGCTTTCAACAGATTCCAGCTCAAATTTGAAACGTCGTTACAAAAATTCTTTCCAAGGGCATGTTCTTTGATTCATGCCCAAAAGCGTTCATAATCATTTAAATAGTTCCTGTAGGCGAATGTTAATATTCCGAGCAAAAGTCGATCCATATTCGCAGTCAGAGAATAATAAATCCCAGGAAGCAGAACTTCTTTTCACCTATGTAAAGTAAGTCCTCTTTATCTAACCATCAGCTTTATATATATATACCAGGTGTAACAGCAAAATTGTCCAAATAGTGTAAAAGCAAAATTGTCCATTTGTTAGATTAAAATTTGAACCGCTCTATCTTAGAAATAATTAAAGATATCTTATCTCAGAGGTTTTATAACACTATTGGCAATAGGAATATATAATTACTTTCCAAGCTTACCAGAAGAATCGTGATGAAATCGATCATAAACGAAATGCATATGTTCATTATTAATTAATCATAGCTAAGGATCGGAAGCTCATGAAAGACTGAAATACAGTTTATATATATATATATATATATATATATATATATATATATATATATATATATATGGTATTTATCAATCCACCCACGGGGATCGAATGTGGCACAAGGCCTTTTTAATGTGGGTATAAATAAATAACCATCCAAACCCGCCGAGGCGGGCCAGTTCCGTCAACCTCCCCAACGAAACCCCACCCTTCGGCGGAGCTTCGTCCGGGTTCCTCTCTGCAAGCAGAGAGTTCAACGACACCCGACCCGGCAGCTCACAAAGCGCAGATACTACACTTTGATCATAGCCACCGGGCCGAGCGGGTATTCTTTTTATATATATATATATATATATATATATATATATATATATATATATATTCAGGATCATTTTCCAATTTATTCAAAGTGATCTTCACCCTCTCTAACCTTCTCACTTACTGTTCTGGAGTAACAAGGTGTTTTACAGGTTTCATGTCCGATTTCATTTACATGTCGTTTTTCACAGCTCTTTGGACTTTCATAGCTGAAATACTCTGTCACGTGCCAAACATCTTATGGATTGAGTTGGATCTTTTCTAATTAACCTCTAGGTCTAAGTTGAAATGATGATCTGTCTTCCTGTTGTGATCTCTTCATCCCTCTCTACTGTTAACTCTTTTTAAAACTTATTCATAAATTTCTTGATGTTTCTTTAATAGACTTTAAAGATGGAGACAGAGTATGAATGTTACAACCATTACTGAAGGCCTGAATGATCTTTTTCCTTTCACAATTGCTCAGATTCGAAGACCACTGGGCTTACACCAGAAGATTGTAACCTGTTCTCTTTCTAGCTAAATAACTTAAAGGGTTTTTTTTAGTGATTCTTACGACAAATGGTGTCCCGATGGTTAAACGTCTTTCTGAAAACCTGGAAGAAGTAAATTTAATTAGTTTAGTGGTTTTTTAGATATTAAACATTTTGTGAGATGTACAATTATGCTGGTACACGATATGGATAATTCTGCTGTTGCATCCGGTGTATAGGGTGTTCTCCAAAAATTGACATACTTTAAAATGTAAATATATGAGTACCTACATATCCCAGGCAAACGAAATTAAATAGGCTTCACGCTGAACAGTAAAAGATTTATTTATCAAAATTCGAATAAAATATTCAAAGGGATGTATATTATAACTTTTACATAAAGCTTCACAAATGTTCAATATGCGTTCCACCTGTGACACAACACACGTCAAGTCGGTAGTCCAGCTCCTGCCAAGCACGCTGTACCATGTCTTGCGTAACATTCTTCAGCCCCTCAGTGATTTTCTACTTATTCTTCCGGGCTTGTAGGAAGAGTGGTTATATAGACCTGTCCTTTCAAATAGCACCATAGAAAAAAAATCACAATTTATAAAGTTAAAGTGACGTGGATGTAGTGGCCATTACAGCAGCATTGTTATTAACACTGGCACGCCCGATCAATCTTTCTGCTAGATTATCATAGAGATAAGTCCGCACAGAAAAGTCCGCATATAAATATATATATATATATATATATATATATATATATATATATATATATATATATGTGTGTATATATATATATATATATATATATATATATATATAGTTGTAACCTAGAAAATCTTATTGAATGAGGAATAACCAAAACGGAGGTTGGAAATGAAATGGTAGTCTTTATAACATCAACCAATTAAAATACTCGCCAGCGGCGTGAAGTAGGTAAACCACTGCTGACTGTGACAGCCCCCATCCCATAAATAGTGCCCAACGTATTGATGAGGATTGGGACATACCCATTAGTGTTCATAGGTACGGTATATAACACACACACACACACACACACACACACACACACACACACACACACACACACACACACACACACACACACACATATATATATATATATATATAACGATATGTATTTTTCTATATTAAAGACAATTTTATGAAATTCTATAGCACAGTTGAAATTCTTTTTGCGTTTCGTTCTTTAGTACTTCATTGAACTAAAATGATGTTTACGTTGATGCGATTAAACATAAGAAGGAACGAGAAGGAACGTTGTAATTTTAAATTAAATTTTTTAATTAAATTATTAAATATTTATTTTTAGATATGTGTTTTGGGTATGTAGTCTAACCGATTTCATTTAATTTCTTTTTCTTTATGCTTCCATCACTTTTATTATTAAACAACCCACTTTGTCATAATAGAAGATCTACCAAGGCAGGTGAAATGTTAAGAACTTGGTTGTAAATTTTCTGTGGATGATATAGTTATTAAAACACATTTTATACATTTTTATCACAGTCAGTTGCTCTCTCTCTTTTAATTGAAGTAGCATATTTAAAATCAAAATTTTATTTGTCATTAGTGTAAAATAACCATTTTGTGTTCATATAATCTTAGGTTTCTCCAATGTCTCCCTTGTGGTAATGATTACAAGTGAAGGAGTAAATTCCTCCTTCACATTTTAGCTTATTATTATTTTATTTTGAATTAAGTGTGTTGCAATATTGTTTTTGTTCAAAACAGTTAAGAATCAGGAAGGCCGTAGTTAGAGAAAGTAGATTAGGTAGGGAAAACAAAAAAGAGATTTATTAAATATTCATACATAGATCGGAAAAAAAACTTGATTAAATCAAACTCCTCAAATTCTACTTTAATGTAGCTACTTGCCATATTTATAAGCAGGAACAGTCCACTATGACAGTGGGGAAGAGCAGTGAGTCCTACTAGTCTTTTATTGTTTTACAAGTAGTTGTAATAGAGTTTATGTTAAACTTATGTTGTGGATTCTGAGATGAAATCCGGTCTCCAAGGAATGAGAAAATCAGGAATGAAATATAACAAATGAATGTATTTACACAATAATACAATTGGTAATTCGGTTAGTAAATCCAGAAACGCGGTTAGTAGCAATAATAATGTATATATACAGTCTGGTAAATTCAGTCTCGAAGTAGGACTTCCTTAGAGTCTACGTGCTTGTAACTGTGAATTCTACAAGCGGTTACCTCACAATGTTACTCTACCTCCAACTCAATCACACTCCCTGCTCTCACTACTCTGACTCTGGGTATTTAACGGCAGCAGTACAAGTACACGCTGGTCGAGTCCACTTATATGAAAAAGGGGTGGACCCCATAACAACTTAGTTAAATTATTTTCAATTGTAGTTTTGATAGAACAATGTACTTTAGTTCTTTACGTTTGCCCGGTAGGGTCGCTTTTCTATTTTGAAATATTTTAGGAGCCTTTTCTTTTGCGTTAAATATGAAATAATTAGTATTTCTCCTCTTTAAATATTGAGTATTACAAATTCTGAGTGCCCTTAAAAAGAATCCTATGATTATTCGGAATGTTAGCTGATTTGCGATTGATAACTGGATTCCTTTAATAATTCAGTGTGAATTTTGAGTGCAATATCTATTCCGGCATAATGCCGCAAAATAACCTCATACCCAAATCAATGTGGTTCAATATATTCTCATCAAAATGAACAGTGAATAAAATAAAGTTAGACTCACAAATCTTTAAGAAGAAAAATGGAAGACAACTTCCATGGCTAAATCTCCAAAATTCCATGTTTTATTGACTATATTTGCAGATAAACTCAGTAAAATAAGAGAAATACTACGGTTCCATTTCATATATTTTTTAATATCTTATTAGAGTTTTTGAAAGTTAGTAGTGACAGTTCTCTTGAAGATTACACCCATTGACTGACGTTTATATAATGTTAATAATGAAATTGAATTAAAATTAGCATGTGTTTTAATTCATTAAGAACATGTATAAATTTTTAATATTTAAGTGAATGTGATCGATGCAGATGCTCCAAATTTATGAGTTTATTTTATCGATCTTGATAGAAACATCGGCACTTTTGACCCCCACTTCACCCCCTCTACGATAGAACATGTCCTTTCTAAACTGTGATTATAAGTCATTTCTAACTTTTGTTTTGAGTTCTATTTCTTATTTTCTTTTGTTCGTTCACCTTCCATTTTTTTGTTCAATGTTTCCTCGTTTCCTTCCCTAATCTTTTCTTTTCCCCTTTTTCATGTTCAATTAATTCATTAACTAATTCATTCATGCATTAGTTCCCGTTGCTTTTACTTTGTTTAATTCTGCCTTCCTTTTACATGCTTCTTTCTTTCTTTCTTTCTTTCTTTCTTTCTTTCTTTCTTTCTTTCTTTCTCAATACATTCATTCTTTTGTCTGTCTTTCCTTGTTTCTTTTCTTTTTACTTGTCAAATCTTTCATTCTTTCTTTCTTTTCTTTCCTGTCTTTTCTATTTGTTTAATTCTTTCTCTCTTTCATATGTTTACTTCTTTCTTTGTTTTATTGTCCAATTCGTGCTGCATTTCTTTCTTTCTTTTATTGTTTTTTTTTTTCATTCTTTCTTTGTCCAATTATATTTCTTATCCTTCTTGTTTAATATTACTTTTTCCTTTTAGTCTTTCCAAATTTCATTCTCCAGTCCTTCTTGGATCCGTTTATATTAATTGATTGTATTCTTTCACTCTAAACATTTTTACTCAGACGATTATTCCGATAAAATTCATTATTTGTTTGTTTATCTCAGTCTTCAAATCACACATCGATATAAAATTAACTGAACTGAAAAGATTAAACAGTCCTCTTGTCCGTATCAATGATTGCTTTTTTATTCACCCAAACCTTTTAGGTTCTCCTAAAAAAAACCAAAGCACGTTCTCTTGATTGCTTCACACATATACACAAGTATATCATTGTGATTTATGATGTTCTCACGCCGTGGAGTATTATTTTAGAAATTTGTCCTGGACATCCCAGGGAGTGAGTTCAAGCCCCAGTTAACGTCACATTATTGTGGTAGACTAGAAGCTATAAGGATAAAGGGGATAGACAACGATCAACACATTAATTTTAAAATAACAGACAGTAGTTATTTACCCTCTTTATGCTCCTAATATTCACTCCTTTCCACCTGACCTTTCAGCGTCCTGGTTAAGACGATAAACTACATCTGCGTCCTGGGTAAGACGATAAACTACATCCGCGTCCTTGGTATGACGATAAACTGCATCCGCGTCCTGGGTAAGACGATAAACTACATCCGCGTCCTGGGTAAGACGGTAAACTACATCCGCGTCCTGGGTAAGACGATAAACTACATCCACGTTCTGGGCAAGAAGATAATCTACATCCACGTTCTGGGTAAGACGATAAAGTACATCCGACAGCAAGGACTCTGATAAGGTGGTCCTGAGGAGCGTGGAACCACCTCTTTATTGCTGATGTTCAAAGCTTCACCTGGACCCGGAGTGGCAGCACCTGTTAAAGTCCCAACTATGAGCAAATATTTAACTCTCAAACTGGAGTTAAAACCTAATGAAAGTGTAAAAATAGGTTTAATACCAGCAATAAATTTTTTGTTAAAAGATTATTACCAACAATAATCTTTTTCTCCTTCAAAAATCTATTTCTGGTAATATTTTTTTCCAAAAAATGTATAGCTGGTAATATTTTTATTTTTTGTTTTCAAAAATGTATTGTTGATAATACTTTTTTTTAAGTATTGCTGATAATAATTTTTTTACAAAGTATTTCTTGTATTAAAACCTATTTTTACGCTTTCATAGTATGTTGACCCAAGTTTGGAGTTAGCTGGAATCCTAACAGGTGCTACCACCCCGGGTCAGGGTGGACCTGGGAACATCAGCAGTTAATAGGTGGTTCCAGGCTCTTCAAAACCTTCTGATCATAGGCCGTCCTGCTGGACGTAGTTTACTCTAACCCTAACGCCACATCAGTCTATTGTGCTTAGAATTAGAGAAGATTTGGTGAGATGAAGAAGTTGATTTTCAGCAAGATGGAGTACCACCACACATCCATTGTGCTGTATGGTCATGCCTGAATGAAATCTTGCCAAATGGGTCAGAAGACGAGATTCTGTAGAATATTCTCCTCGTTCACACAACCTCACATATTTAGACTATTTATTGTGAGGATACATAAAAGATAAAATCTACATTATAAAGCCAGCAACAATCACTGAAATGAAAGTTTCCATACAGCAAGAATACAGCTATATATCTATCGAAATGTTTATTACTGCCTGCCATTCCATAGCGCCATGTTGGCAGCACTGGGAAAACCAACGAATTTGATGTATTGTTTTGTAAAATTTCCCTTTTGTATTCATATAATCTTTTATTTAGTTTCCTTGAGGTTTCACCTATGTATATTTGTGAACATTATCACAGGCGATCGAGTAAATTTTATTTTCAAGTTTTAGTTTATTGCTTTGTTTAGTATTGACTAAATCTTTTATTGTTTTAGATGTAGTAGTAATAAATTTAATGTTGAGTTTAGATAAATTCTTTTCAATTATTGATGTGATAGAGTAGGTTGGTAGAACAATATATTTTTTGATTCATTGGGTTTGTCAGGATGGGCCGTTTTTCTATTTTGGTATATTTTAGGAGCATTTTGTTTCGCATTGAATATAAAATAATATTGCATATAAGACACTTGCTCAATGTAACGAGACTGAACACAATTTAGACATAAAAATGCGACTTTTATCAAAGGAGAAAACAACTCACAACGATGTAAGTGTTTAGAGAGTGCCTTGATTACAAGGCCATATCAAGTAAATTTGTGTCCTGGCTCTTACAACATTTCACTATTCCTGGCAGAACTTCTATTATCACAGTGTGAGATATCTAATAACAAAAGTGATGGAAACACAAAGGAAAAGAATCTAAATGAAATCGGATAGATTAAAAAAAAAGTTAAATTCCCAGGATCCCTCGTTCGGGCGCATGTGTAGCCACACCGACATTAGAAATTGAATTCTAAAGGACGAAACGCGTCACATGATAAAAGAATAATGTTGTTATAAATATATTGTCGTGCAATATATATATATATATATATATATATATATATATATATAGATATATGTAAGCAAATATATGGATATAGATCCGACAGTATGAAAAAAAATATACAGAAAAAACAAACAAAAATCTTAATATGCAATTATGCTGTATTAATGTTAATATAAAGTCAACGTCGGACGTTTCGGTCTATTTTAGACCATCTTCACATTTTCATTTAAACATAATTAACATTAGAACATATAAAAATTCAACACGAAAAGACGATGGACATAAGAGCACAACCAATCCAAATAGATAACTGAAATTTTTATATAAGATCAACGTCGTGGAGGACTTCAAGCTTGTATGAAGATATAAGAACCTATTGATCTCTGCGTATTCCAATATCAACGGAAGGGATTTCTTGAACTGTTTATATAAAATAGTTCAATCGACTTTTTAATATTTTAATATTTGGAAATCATCTTCGAATACGTTTTCACAACATTGCCCACGTGACGACGACGTGTTCATATTTATGATGTGAGTTTGTGACCCTAGGTTTCACGCTTTTCGATCGCAAAAGCGTGAAACCCAGGGTCACAAACTCACATCAATCTAACCAAATAAGTTAGCTCTATCTCTGATATTGAGGGCTTTCTAATAAGTACCGCGCATATAATATACAAATAATTATATATATATATATATATATATATATATATATATATTTATATTTATATTTATATACACACTTTTCACACAAATATATATATATATATATATATATATATATATATATATATATATATATATATATATATATATATATATATATATATCAATAAAAAAGTAAGTTTTTTTATATAGCCTACACGGTTGTTAACCGTTTAAACAAATTATTAAACGATTAACAATTTGTTGATTAAATATATAAGCACAGGAATTGATAGTAATGGATATAGTTTTCAGTCTCTTCTCAATGGCGCCAAGCCCTAGGATCGTTCTCCTGATGGTTATTATCTAGTAATCACCTCCCTCATAAATCATCCATGGTAAGCGGTCGTCATTGGCGGAACTTGTCGAGTATTGGGTTGCTCATCAACATTTCCTTCTGTAGGAAATGAGTCCTATGCCAGATCCGAAGAGACGTTCGCAGGTAAACCTGAGAACAACCACACTAATCAAGACCGCAATCTCCCATTCAGAGGCCTTACTGCTGGATGTAATTTATCGTCATGCCTAGGGCGATATTTGAATAATTAAAAAATAGCTTTCGGAAGTAACGTTTTTACTGGTGAGAATTGTAATTGTTTTAAAGCTGAAATATCTTGGAATTAATTCAAATAACATTGGTTTTAACATTGATGCGAGTCATGTTTGTTAGCGGATCAGTATGATTGATTTGTTTTTTTACGTTTTATCAACCTTTTGCATGTTATTTAAATCCAGAAAATATTTTTGGATTGGAAGAATTTTTCTGGAGATAATGATGATTTTTCCAGATATAGTCCTACTATTTAACCCATAGGTAGGTTGGTAACGAGGTGGATTCATACCTTTCACAATGGTATTTGCACGTAAAGTAAATGAATATAACGAACCCAACCGGAATTGGAACGCCGCTCTCCGATTTCTCATTCTGAACTGTTATCCATCATATTACCAGCGCATCTCAGCTTACAGCATGTGTTATGCCCAAGGGGTCCTCTATCTAGGTACTGACCAGGCTCGACGTTGCTTAACTTCTGTGATCGGATGATATGGCATTAAGAGCGGGTCACTAGAAAAAAACCATATTTCTTAACTTTATTATATTTCTCTCCCTATCGCTAATCTATTTAGATCTACAAACAAACCTCAACAAATTTATGACTATGACATTGTGCCTTCCACTTCCGGTATTAAAAAATCAATAAGGAAAATGCGCTTTTTTTTTCTTATGTGGAATTTTAATTGGCCTATCTTTAAGTTTTGGCGACATTTACTTCTTAGGCCGCTGAAAGATTATCATTGATGTCACAGGCAGAAACAATATTTTTTAGCAAAACAGAACGCAAATATATAATAAAATAAAGTCGGTTAGGTTTGGTTGCATATATTCTAAAAGAAAATCAATATTTTCCGTGATTAGAAAAGCAGAAAATAAAAGAAAATGAAACTAATGTTTTAAAGAACATTGAGAAAAATTTTATCATTTGATACGAAATTAATAATTCAAATAAAGAAGACACAGATATGTGGGAAGAAAATTACAAGACAACGAAAATCTGTTATAAGAAACAAACAAGACAGGAAAAGTAATCGTATAAAATAGTATCTATTAAATTTTTGTTGCTCTGAAAATGTGGATAACATAAATTTTCTTATCTTTATAAGAGATTAGAAGAAAGATTGAGTAGAATTTTAAAAAATGAAGGATAAAATCAAAAGG